TGAGCACCTCATGGATGCCATTGCTTCATATCACGGCAGGCAGCGACGCAAAGTTGGACACCATCTCAACCTCGACTTGAACTTGGGTTATGGAGGTTTTCTCGTCCGCATAACGATCGATTACGGAAGGCAACTTGCTATTAGAAGGGGCGATGTCTGTGCTACACAATTGCAAGGGGAGAGAGATCAAGCTCCATTGCATGAGGTACGGCTCGAACTTTTTTGGACCAAGTGCGTTGCACTATCTTGGTGAGGGCCGGCTGTGCGGACAAATTTTTCCCTCTGATCCACGATACGCCTTAGATCTCGTAGCTGCTTTGCGTAAAAGGAACCAGCTTCTTCATCCAGCAGTTTCCCGACCTATTCCCTCAAGCTGAGGTTGCAGGTAACCCAAACGTCACTTCGTCATCAAAACTGTAGGCTCCCTAGGCTCCCGCCTCAAAGCGTCACTGTCGTGCTAAAGTTGCTCGATGATTGGGGGCATCGTGCTTATTCAGCTCCATCAATTTGGCATCTGCAGCTAACACGCTGGCGTCAGGGTGGTGGGTGAAATAGTTTGTGGAAGTTGTTGGATGGGTCGGGGCTGATGGTAGCGGATAAAATCCTTGTGCATATTGCAGAAGAAGGAGCAAGAGGCAAGCGAGTGGTACTAACAGAGAGACCACTCCTTGTTGTATAAGAGCTTACATTACCGGTTACCACTCTTGGTAATGGGCAAGTAATTTGAGTTCGGAAAAGAGTGACAGAACTTTCCCGCCAACCTAATATATATCCTACAATAATGTCGATGCCGACGAGCGGAGGGGGAGGGTATGTAGCTCGCGTGAAACAGGAAACTCATAAAAATTCGAGGAAAACCCGGACTATGAATATGGGATACTTTGCGTGTTCAATGGTTCTTTTACTTTTATACTTCAATTACGCGTGGGAACGAACAATGCAGCATAACACCTGCAATTACTCATACTTCAGAGAGTGCATTGCATGGTATTTGAAAAAAGGAATCAACCATCGGTAGGCATTTCTGCGCAGGTGATGGCAACGGAGTGTTTTCTTCTACTGAGCGATTCATATTGCGCTGAATTGGCCGACTGCACTTTCTATCTCTTTCTAGATCTATGCATTGTGTGGGCGTTCTGGCGCGAACCACCACCCTACTGCAAAGATAAGCGTGTGGTGAGGAGTGCAGGAGCCGCACGGTGGCAATAAACTTGAATTTGAACTCGTCCAATCACACTCCAGGTTCCGATTCAATGGCCCAAGTTCGATGCGGAATAGGACTTACTATGGTGCATTTTTCACTCTGCCTGTTTTTCCTTGAACCTCGTTTTACACACTACCCTGTCTGTTAAAGTCCCACAACACACCATTATCACACCTCGAACGCGGGCACACCCATAACCACTTACAGTTTTTTTTCAGCAGCCGTCTTCCAGGAGTACCGTCCCTAATTTTAGTGAAATCAGTGATATAAACTGTTCGGAAGCGTCGCACAATACTTTTCTTCATTTCTGCGGGTTCCTAATCACTGCAGTCTCCGCATTTCTTCATTGCTTTGTCTGTGCATTTCTGCCGGTTCCTCAGTTCTGCACTTTCCGCGTTTCTGCATTTGTTTAAATCGGTGCCTGACAAAAGCTTTTCGTCATTTCTGCAGAACCGCATTTCTGCAAATTCCGCATTTCTGCTTTTCGGGGTCGTAAGCCATGAGCGCGGCGTAAGACATCAGAGTACTCAGCCTCAGCAGAGCGCGGATTAATTGTAGTGTCCTCCATCAGCGCCAGCGCCAAAAATGAATGTGACATTTGCAATCAAGATGTCAAATAACCTCCGTATACAACTTTTCAGCTTGTTTGGTGACCTAAGGCATTTTGGCGCCGACATCTGTGGTGCGGAAGCCGGGCAGCTTCAGGCCAAACGGATGTGGTATTCGTGTTCAGCAGGTCGAACCACTACAGAACAGAATTTTCGGCCGAATCTGCTTCTTAGAAGGAAGTTGGTCGAACTGTTTCGGGTATAGGGTAGAAATAGTTGAATACATATTTACGTTGAATACATTCGTACAACAACTTCATCAGCTCTGCCTCTAATGATAAGTTTTTCTCTGTATCGCACTTATGAAGACACAGCTTTGCTGACTTCTGACCGTTCGAATGCGCCCCTCCCCCTTGTCGGTAAAAATTCTGCACAAAATTCACCAAATTGATACTCTCTCTTGTCATCCTGCCTCTCTAATGCAGACATAGCCTCAGTCCCCATGAGTGATTGCTGCGGTCACAGCTACCACTTTGATACGCCTACCCCGTCTCCGGGATACTTTACAGTCACTCACGAGCAGGCAAAGCCCGCGTTCGGAGATTGTGAGAAGTGGCTCGAATTCAGACGAGAAGGTACTCAATAACTGCATGATGAACAAAAAGCAGAAAAATTGCTCCAACGCCCTATATAAGACCTAGACTGGTGATGTGGAGTGTAGAGAAAGCTTGCTTGTTCAAAAATCGTTCGGTATTGTTGTACTGATATCAGCTCTTTTCCCTTATTATCTCACTCTCACCATTCGGAGGAGTAAGTGCTAGTAGAGGGGCTATTAGCTAGTGGCTAGTAAGCACTGGTGGGTGGCATCGGCCTAAGCAGCGCTCATGGCCCTAACTGGTCAGCTTCCACAGGAACCTTGCAATTCCAGTGACAAAGTGTCATGGATAACTGCTGTTCAGTTATGAAATAGTGGCTGATAAGTAATTCTCCAAAGAAGAAAAAAGCCAAAAGGAGTTCTCAATAACACCATGAATAAAATCGCTTCCTGACAGTCGAAAACTCGGCGTACAAGTCCAGAATTACGGTAACGTGCATCTTTTGTGCACGTCGAGCTTTTGCACCAAGAAAGTTGCATCACTCGTGATTTTTACGCCTTTTACCTTGGGACGCGTTGCAGTTGACTGTATGTGCTCCTAAGTGAATAAAATGTAATAAGGGAGAGCAGAATTACTTATGGGCACGAGCGCGGTCAGCAAAAAAAGGACATGCAATTCCGATTAATGCCCGCCGCCCCAACAAAGAACAACTAAGCTGCCCTTCAGAGGGCATCTAGCAAGTGGTCGGTTCAACTGAGCGGGCGTTGGACGGTTGTAGCACGCTCCTCGCTCGGTATAGAGTCGTGGAAGTGGGCAGTCTCTTAGCTTGGAGGTTGGACTTCTTGCATAAATAAGGACGACCAACAGTTGCTTGAGCGCGGAGGCTGTCTGCAAATGTAATACGCCTATACAATCGCCTACCGACACAGTTCAGAAGTTCTAGTCTCATTTTATCGCGGAACGTGCCTTTAAAGGTTGAACCATTCGCCGTTCAATCCTTTTCAGGATGCGTCGGGCATCCTACTTCCATTTGGAATTGTGGTGATTTTTCAGATATAAAACGGCTTTTACGATGACTTGTGTAGCCAGCCAATGTACAGGTCAGCTTCTTATCCTCCTAGACGACTTTCTCACTAATTTACCGTTAACAAAGGAGAGAATAAATAGAACAGAGGCTTGTCTGGTAGGACCAGGTCCGGAATTTGATCCTCGGACCGTGCGCATGGTGAGCGCTCTTGTCGATACACCACAACGGCCTCTACTGGCATAAGAAAAGTAGTACAGCACACATCAA